TATATCTAGTCAATGTTAATAACAACAGAAGGTATATCTAGTCAATGTTAAAAACAACAGAAGGTATATCTAGTCAATGTTAACGATAGAAGGTATACCTAGTCAATGTTAACGATAGAAGGTATACCTAGTCAATGTTAATAACAACAGAAGGTATATCTAGTCAATGTTAATAACGATAGAAGGTATATCTAGTCAATGTTAATAACAACAGGAGGTATATCTAGTCAATGTTAATAACAACAGGAGGTATATCTAGTCGATGTTAATAACAACAGGAGGTATACCTAGTTAATGTTAATAACACAGAAGGTATATCTAGTCAATGTTAATAACAACAGAAGGTATATCTAGTCAATGTTAATAACGATAGAAGGTATACCTAGTCAATGTTAATAACAACGTATTTTACATTTACGTTTTTTGCAGTTCTCGTGGTTTTAAACATATTTATTTACGAATTTTGAATAAAATGATTCCAAGTTCATTTTGTACTTGTACATAGGCAGACCTTCATGCCATCCGTAGTCAACAGGGGGCGTCTCAGCAGCAGGATGCCGAGTTGACACATCTACGAAAACAGTTGGAGGAGAAAAAGAGTGTAATAGAAGACTTAGATAAGAAATTGAAGAAGAGAAATGAGCAGTTAGACCAATTAGAGAAGACTTTAGCTCAGGTGAAATATTACTATAACTAATTAGGTTTCACTTAGAACAACTGGATAAGGCACTAGCCTGGGATTCAGTAACACTATAACTAATTCGGTTTCACTTAGAACAACTGGATAAGGCACTAGCCTGGGATTCAGTAACACTAAAACTAATTCGGTTTCACTTAGAACAACTGGATAAGGCACTAGCCTGGGATTCAGTAACACTATAACCAATTCGGTTTCACTTAGAACAACTGGATAAGACACTAGCCTGGAATTCAGTACCACTATAACTAGTTAGGTTTCACTTAGAACAACTGGATAAGGCATTAGCCTAGGGTTCAGTAACACTATAACTAGTTAGGTTTCACTTAGAAAAACTGAATAAGGTATTAGCCTGGGATTCAGTAACACTATAACTAATTAGGTTTCACTTAGAACAACTGGATAAGACACTAGTCTGGGGTTCAGTAACACTATAACTAATTAGGTTTCACCTAGAACAACTGGATAAGACACTAGTCTGGGGTTCAGTAACACAATAACTAATTAGGTTTCACTTGGAACAACTGGATAAGGCATTAGCCTAGGTTTCAGCACCACTATAACTAATTAGGTTTCACTTGAACAACTGGATAAGGCACTAGCCTAGGTTTCAGCACCACTATAATTGACGAAGGCATTAGGTCTGAGATAATTTCCAGAGATATTTTTCATCTTTTGATTAAGTAGTAAATTCAGTATTTGAATTTTTTAGAGATTTTACGCACCTTTCAGGTGTAAAAGTAAATTATATTTACATTTATTGATTCCTTATATGAGAAAACACTGTGATCAAACAGTGATCAACTACATTGATCCAGCAAAGACATATTACAGTCCTCTGTGATGAAATATTGATCAACTTTAAGGAAATAACTATTAAAGCTTTAAGAACTTGCAATTGTTAAAAGTTCGAATATTCTGTAGAAGTCGTTAAGTCTTAGAGACGAAACAGTGAAAACAGGTTATTAATTTATGATATATATGTTCTGATGCTATTTGAGAAGTTAGGTTTGGTAAACAAAGCCGTGTCTACTGTATTATTACATCTATTAAAAAGAAGTGGCCACGTGGACAGAGAAAATTATCTTTGTTACTCAACAAAGTGCTAAATTAACTTATTTAAGCAGGTCGGGACGGGTCAGAGTGATATGTTCACTAAAGAAGTGGCTGAGTTACGACACAAGGTCTCGGAACTGGAGAAGACGAAAAATAATTACAAGAAGGAGCTGAATAAAGCGAAAGAAGAATGCAAACAGTCAACCTCCGAAATGGAAAGACTTCTTCAGATCATGTCGTCCACTGAAGACGAAAAGTTTTCCCTAAATCAGCAGATAAAGGAATTACAAGAGTGAGTTTCATAAACGTAACTTCTTGTAGTTGACCGTTGAGTTTCATAAACGTAACTTCTTGTAATTGACCGTTGAGTTTCATAAACGTAACTTCTTGTGATTGACCGTTGAGTTTCATAAACGTAACTTCTTGTAATTGACCGTTGAGTTTCATAAACGTAACTTCTTGTGATTGACCGTTGAGTTTCATAAACGTAACTTCTTGTAATTGACCGTTGAGTTTCATAAACGTAACTTCTTGTGATTGACCGTTGAGTTTCATAAACGTAACTTCTTGTAATTGACCGTTGAGTTTCATAAACGTAACTTCTTGTAATTGACCGTTGAGTTTCATAAACGTAACTTCTTGTAATTGACCGTTGAGTTTCATAAACCTAACTTCTTGTAATTGACCGTTGAGTTTCAAAAACCTAACTG